AGAGGTCTTAATAAGAGGTAATTAAGTAATAAGGTAATAAAAGTAACATAATAAAAAATATATTTAATAAAGCTAATCTAAATAAGATGTTTTAATAATTAAAAAATCAAAATAAAAAAAAATAAAATTCAAAATAAGAGGTCTTAATAATTTAAGAGGTCTCTTAAATGGCTCTCTAGCTATTTAAAATAGCTAGAGCTTTTTTTCCATCTCTCCTCAATTTTAAAATGGCTAGAGCCATTTTAAAAGAAGCTCGCATGTCTAAAATAAATGTAAATAAGCAAAATGCAATGCGCGAAATTAAAAATTTTGGCCCGCTTAATTTTGCCTCTATTTAAAAATTTTGCCCGACTTCATAAGGGCATGCGTCTCAAAAGCCACGGCACCTGCCTGTGTCATGTCTTTTTGCTTTGTAATTCACTTATTAAGAAACCACTAATTGGTAGTGGAGTTTAATGCTACGGTTACATAAAAAACGCAAGACGCCGGCGGAAGACGCTCGGCGTCAAGACGCCGGCGGAAGACGCTGTTTCGTGGTTACATAAAATCGGCGTCTTCCGCTAAGCGGGAAGACGCAAAGCGTCAAAACGCTAGTTTTATGTAACCACAAAACAGCGTCTTCCGCCGGCGTCTTGACGCCGAGCGTCTTCCGCAAGACGCGCGCGATTTTATGTAACCACTAAATCCGATTAAAATTTTTTTTAAATATTTATCATACTAAAATAAAATTTATAAAATCAAATCATTTTATTCTGCCATGGTACCGATCAGGGGTGGCGCTCCTCTCGTATCTCGTGAAATCTCGTGTTTTTTAGAGGTCTCGTATCTCGTATTTTGCCACAAGACACGAGATATTTTCAATATATTTTAGAAAAAATGTCAAAAATTTTGGACTATTTTAGGATCCTAGAATTAGGAATCTCTTAATCCCTTCAAATCCTCTGATCTCCCGATATTCATTACGTAAAAATTTTTTATGTGAAAATCCCGAAATCCCACGGGATTTCGCTAAATTTTAGAAAAGGATTACGGGATTAATCCCGCGGGATCCTGTCCGTAAACAATTTTGAAGAAAATCCCGTTACTGATAAATCTCTTCATATTCAAAAAAATTTAAAAGTTTGGAACTAGAACTAACTTGGAACAAGTTCTAGAACTGGAACTAAGGAATTTTAAAAATGGAGTTCCGAAACTGGAACTACAAAAATAAAAAACCTAGTTCTGGAACTGGAACTAGTTCCAGAGAAATTTTGGAACCTTCCCATCACTGATCGTCAACTTAGTCATGTTTATTAGTCTCAAAAAGTGGTAATGGTGCAGAATTGGGCATGCTGATCACGAATCTGCTGATCACGAACATGCTGATCACGAATCTGAGCTTAGAATTTGGTCATTTCGAATCCCGGACTTGATTTCGACCAAGTCTTATTTGGGGTAAAAATTCCCGAACCGAATTTCGAATATGCAAATGATAGCTCATTCGAAAGAGCTCGTCGAGTTGAGTCGAATGGTATAAAAATTAAGCAGTGTCCCTAACTATATGGGACGAGCCCTACTTATCAAGAAATGGTCACTTTTTCATGTTTTTGGTATCATTTGATAGAGAATCAAAAGCTCTACAACATATCAAAAAATCAGAATTTTTGACCGATTGATAAAAAAGTTATGATACTGAGAATCTCAAAAATATCGAAAAAAAAGAATATTTTTTTGCAAAAAGTATACCTTTTTCAAAATCAATTTTAACCCATAAGATTTAACTTTAAAAATATAAAATTTATATTGATCGATAGAGAATGAATTGAATTTTCAGAATCTTTTTAAATTTTGAAAATCGCATTAGAATTGGCCGAGAAATGATCAAGACGCTAAAAGTTGCCGCAAAAAATTCAAACATGTTTGAATTAAAAAAAGAGACGCCGGCGTCAAGACGCCGGCGGAAGACGCATTTTATGTAACCACTTAAAAAAGCGGCAAGACGCTCGGCGTCAAGACGCCGGCGGAAGACGCGGGTTATGTAACCACTCAAAAAAAGCGGCAAAACGCCGGCGTCTTGACGCCGGCGGAAGACGCAGTTTATGTAACCACTCAAAAAAAGCGGCAAGACGCCGGCGTCTTTTACTCTCTTCATTTCCCATTATCTTTTCTGCCGCAAGACGCGCGCGTTTTTTATGTAACCGTAGCATAAGAGAGCCACTAATTGGTAGAGAAGTTTGAGAATCTAAAAGGACTCTTACCTAGAGGTCTTTTTAAGAGGTAATTAAGTAATAAGAAATAAGCAAAAGAGTTAATTATAAAAAGTTAATAAAAGTTAAAATTTGTGTTTTAATTCTAGTGTTTACTTTGTATTATATATTTATCTAACCTTTTTTTTATTTTTATCAATCAATTAGGAGAGGGTAGAGGACCATTCAGAATAGCCGGTTCAGAATGGCCGATTCAGAATACCCGATTCAAATTACCCATAATCATAACAAATCTGTAACAATCTAATAACAATTCAAATCAAATTGGACCAGTTATGTAAAAGATGCCGAAGCACAGAACCTTTCGAATGATGTGAGAATTATTCGGTAAAAATCCAGCTCGCTATCTGTATGTCCGCAAAAGCATTTCTGCAAAACTCATTTCTTACTGTATTTTCCTTCTTTCCTTTGATGGGTTGACAACTTGGCGCAACTACATTGTGACGTCAATCATGGAAAAGAGTTTATTTACTAGTACATAATTAAAAGTTAATGAATATAAATAATGTTATGATAAAGTCCCGCTAACTGTCAACTAGTCAGGCCCGATTGAAGAGAAAATATTATTGTGCGAGAGCGGGCACAAAAGAAGAACTTGGAAAAAGTGCTCAAAGAGCAACTATCCTGCCAAAGCTCGAATAGAAATACCTTGGCCGCGTTGGGCAAGTAAGACAAGAGAAGAAGAGCTGTTAAGCTGGTGCTTAGCAGGTTTTTTTGTAGTTTACAGCAGAAAAGCAACAAATTTTAAACTTTCTTTAACTAATAAACGTTTTTTCTAATCAAAATAGATTTCTTCATCTTTGGACCTAAGCCCACTGGGTCTGGGACTACCGTATTTACTCAAATAATTACCCTGGGTGATTATTGTTTCGATCTCTCGCTGGAGGGGGTAATTAATAGGGAGGGGGTAATTATTTGAGAGAGGGCAATTATTATTTCGACCTATAGTTTTTATTTTATCATAAGCATATGAACAGGAATGTAGAATATGTTACCAAATACTGAGATAAAAAGTTGCGTTTTACCTTTATTATTCCCTCAATTTTTCCACAAAACGGTATCATAACAGCAATACTTCCGTCATGGGATATATAAAGACATCATGGACATGTTTGCAAATACGTATCTGTAATTCCTGGTTATGAGATATAATATTTATTCTTAATATAATATCCTCAAAATAGTACATACCAGCAATACTTCCGTCTTGGGATATATAAAGGCACAAAATCATGCTAGGGATTTAGGGTATTTTAGAGGATTTGGTAATATATAGAAGGAATAAGGCTTAGAAGTAATAAGACTTATATCCTAAAACTTCGTAATTTCCCATTATCTCTCCCTAAATTTTCTTAATCCCTTCGATTTCCTTCTTAATCCACACAAATCCTCGATTTTTCCGTAATAAATCCTTTTAATGTCTCGATTTATTTCTTGATATTTATTTGTAAAATGTTCTATTATTAAATTCGATGATATTTAATATTTTTAAAATTAGTCGAAAAAATAGGGGGTAATTATTTAAGGGAGGGTAATTATTGTTTCGATCTCTCGCTGGAGGGGGTAATTAATAGGGAGGGGGTAATTATTTGAGAGAGGGTAATTATTTGAGTAAATACGGTATCTCGAAATTTCTGAATGTTAAAATCGTTTTCTGAAAATTTTAAAAATTGGCTATAACTTTATGAAATTTCGAGGGATAGGGTAAGGAATGGTCCCAGACAAAGTGGGCTTAGGTCCAGAAGATAATTGCGGGTATTTGGATTGTTGCGGAAGTTGCATAATTTCGGATATTACGCGGATATGGCAGTTTATATTTTTTTTATATTTTTATATCTGAGAGCACGCTTGCTTTCCTATGAAAATTACCGTAAATGCTGAAATAATGTCCCTCTCTCAAATAATTACCCCCTCCAGCGAGAGATCGAAAAAATAATTACCCTGGGTAATTATTTTAGCAAATACGGTAGTGTTAATTCTCTTTACTAAATTGGTTGTAAAATATTTTTCTGAGAAGTAAAACTTAGTTTAAAAAAAGAAAAAAGTCTTTTAATATAATTAAATTTTTATTTTAATTAAATTTCTACAGTATTTATTTTCTACAAATTAATTTTAATAGTATATTTTTTAATTTTCTTCAAAATTATTTCAATTCTCTCAACCCATTCTGCATTCTTTAGGTTCATGCACCTTTTCAATAAAACTGTGTTGTTTGTACATATCATTAATGTTATTTATTTGATTATTGTTTTGTTTGTATAAACGCAAAAGTTGGCGAGTTTCGAAATCGGAACGTGGAAGGCAGATGAAGGGAACATTTTTTGTTGTAAAGTTTTGTTGGTTTGTTTGTTGGTTTTCCTGAAGATTTTCATTGTCTCCATTACTGTACCAACCATAAGGATAGCTTCCACTTGGGCATTGCTTTATCTGTTGTTTCGAGAAGCATATTTCGTTTTCCATTTCGATCAATCTGGTCTTCTCTTGTGGGGCTAGAAAAATTTAAGAAATTTTTGTGGATTTCAAATGATTAGTAATTTCGAGATGGCACTGTTTGGACATTCAGTAAAAATTTGTTTTCCGAAATACGAAGCTGAACTCGAAACTCGAAATTCACGAAACTCGAAATTTGCGAAACATGATAATTTTAGAGTTCAACTTGCTCTGTTGTTCAATAAAAATTTTTCTCAAAATACAAAACTAAGCTTGGAACGAAACTCGAAATTCACGAAACTCGAACTTTGCGAAACTCCAACTTCACCTACCTATAATCTTCTCCATTTTATTTCCATTCATTTCACTTCTCATAATATATTGCTCACTTCCTCCATAATTATCAGAGAAATAGGCCTCATCATTTTCACTTTGATCACCAAAAGTTCCATCAAACATTTCATCTTCCCATTCATTATATTTTTTATTTTTGCTTCCTTCCTTCATTTCCTTACCCTCTTCTTCCTCAATTATTTCCAAAGCTTCAGAATAACCAAATTTATTTTTATTTTCTTCATAAAATCTGTCAAGTTGTTGTTCATTGCACATTAGGTCGTTGCTGTCGTGGCTGTTCGAAAGAGAATAGGAACGATGGAATTGGGCGAGGTTGGAGGCTAAAAATGGAAATTTTTTGAGATTTTTGGGGATTTTTTGAAGATTTTTGAGAATTTTTGAAAAATCCGAAAATTCTAAAAATTTCAGAATTTTCAAAAAAATTTTCCTAAAATTCCTAATTTCTCACTAAATTCATTATTGGCCATTATCATTTCATTTTCATCATTTGTAGCATCGTCGTAGTGTCCACAAAGTCCACATTGAGTGTTTCTATAAGCCCCCGAAAGCTTAATCCAAGCCTTGTAGCCATTGAAGCGAACGGATACTTCGTTCAAATGAAGAGTTACATCACTCATTTTAGCGTTGTTGTACTCCACAAGGTTGTTCTCATTATTTTCGTTCAAATAGCGTCCGTTGATTTTACACACAATTTTACGGCTTGCGGTTGTTTCATGTTGACATTCGACGCTTTGGCCAGGTGTAAGAATTTTCAGTTTCTATTTTTAAATGATTTTAATTTTTTTTTGAATTTTTTAAATTTGCCTTTTGACTAAAATGACTAGAATCTTCTCCAGTAGACATCATCATAACTACGAAATCGGGAATATGAATCATTCTACCGCAATCTTTGGCGACAACAGAATAACAGCTGGTGGAGAGTGGAGCCTTGTATCTCTTTCCGTCTGTGGAAAAATCAGAATTTAGCGAAATCAGAATTTTTAAAATCAGAATGAAATCAGAATCTTGTAAAATCAGAATAAAATCAGAATGTGGTAAAACCAAAATGATTTCAGAATAAAAATCAGAATAAAATCAGAATTTGATAAAATCAGAATAAAATCAGAATTTATGAAATCAGAATTCTGAAAACAAGATCAAATAAAATCCGAATTTGGTAAAATCTGAATAATTTCAGAATAAAAAATCAGAAAAAATCAGAATTTTTAAAATCAGAATAATTTCAGAATTTTTCGTAATAAGAATAAGACCAGAATTTTGTATTTTAATATAATATGAAATCAGAATAACCAGAATTTTGCGGGATCAGAATTTCCTATTTTTAAGTTTATTTACCGAAAGTCCGAACAATCCTTCCATCAACCGAACACTCTGCACGATTTTTAATTTCTTGTTGAGAGTAGAACTGGTCGAAAGACTGGATGCTCTGTACATTTCGACGTCTTAGAGAAAAAGGACGAAGCTTGAAGGGCATTTCAATCTGTTGCAAATGGACAATTTGTTCTGGTGTCATGAGGGTAATGTTGGCATGGTTTTGGGTTAAAGAGTCGATAGAGAGGGTACAGTATACCTGGAAAATTTTTTAATTTTTGATTTTTCTTTTCAATTAGAGAACCTTTCCATTCTCGGGATTCAAGCTACTTTCACTCTTTAATTCAGTCTTCGAATTCCAAAAATATTTAGACTTGACCAATTCAACAGCCCTTTCGAACACATTTCTGGTTGCTGGAGTTAAGTTGTTATATTCCATTCTACAGTTGTAGAGGTTGATAAATGCAATTCTACGTTGGAGTTTGGTGGTGAAAGGAGAGGAGTTTTGATCAGAATTTTGATTTTCCTCGTTTTGTTCTCCCTCTTGATTTGCCCCTTCTTGCTGCTGATTTTGGAACATATATTATCCAGAAGTTCTTTCAGGTGCTTGTTCCCCAACGATTCGCATATTTACTTGTTGTTTACGTGTATCCGCTCCCCAATGCAAATTTGCAAAACTCAAAAACTGATCAGAGGCATAACTATTAGAATTCTCCTCTTCAGCCCCTCCAGGCATAACCATTTCAACTTGGCCTTTCATTGTCCACATGCCTCTTTCTTCATTCATTTTGCTTCTTTCTGCCCCAAGTCTGAGTTGACAGACTTGCATTTTGTCGTTACATTGGGCTTGTAGTTGGACTGAAGCTTTAAATTGTTTGGAACCTCCCATTGTTTTAGCAGACAGTTCCATAGAGTGTTTGTAATGTTTTTGGTGTTTCTGGGATTTTTGATAGTTTGAAAGGAATGTTTGCAATTTTTGTTGTTGATTGGCATAGTATTGTTGCTGATCTTCTGGCATGATACCCTCTTGTGGCTGAAAATATAGTTTATTATAATGGGGGGATGTTAAATAGAGGGTAAATGATTGCCACTTATAGTGAGATGTATGTTAATTAGAAGGTAAAATGGCTTTATCTTATAGAGAGATATGTGTTAAACAGAGGGTAAAATGACCGTTTCTTATAACGAAGTGTATCTAAAAAGAAGGCAAACCCCTTAGGTCCTTCCGCCTCTGGCCAGCCCAATAATAGATCGTATCCTAAACTGGGCTTTGCTATTTGGGGTATCTTATAGTAAAATTGTTTTAGTTTTACGAACATTTCCTTCTTCGTTGGACGTAGCACTTCTCTCGAAGAAGTTGTTCATTTTTGACTGGAATGCTTTTACAGGCTGGAAGTTTTCTGTGTTCATATTGAACACAACTTCGCGTGCTGTTTCCTGTCCGGGTTGGTATGTAACATGCATTGCGTTTTCTGTGGAAGTGAGCATTTTGAGAATTTGTACAATGTTGGCAGCATTTGAAGGCCAATGGTAATGAGCTAGGAATGGAAAAAATTCTAATTAACTTTTCAATTCCCCACCATAAACATGGACAGGAATCCCAACATTTTTAGAGCCAATAACTTTGTCAAATTGATACTGAAGACGGTCAAGTTTTGGATTCCTTATGGTACGGTATTCTCTCCCCATAGGCGAATTTGTATTTAGGTCAATTTCAGCTCTGTAGGTGTATTGATGAGAATGAGCGCCAAAAAGTCGAGTTGTTTCTTTAGGCATTTTTACTTTGACAGTGAGGGATTGTCTAGAGTTGTAGGTATTCGTATTTAGTTCAGCCTGGATTGGAAGGTTGACTTCAACGGAGCGGGTGTTGCTTACGCCGGTGATGAGGAAGGGTGTCCATGAGCCCTAAATATAAATAAATTAATGGATAAACAAGACATTTGATCTCACAATTCTCTGAACGTGTGAAACACCAGCCATGATTCTCGCATCAATTTGAATTTTAGCTTGCTGATTTTGTTTATCTTGCAGTTGAGTACTTGCTTCCACATTCATGAGCATCGGAACTGAGTTGACAATTTTAATAGGAAGTCCCACAGAAGTTGGAATTAATGCTTCTCTCTCATTAAAGATTGCCGAATATGTGTGATTTTGGACAGATTGGAGTTGTTGTAGCCCGAATTTGGAGATTAAACGATTAAATTTTGGCATTTCTCCTCTTTGAATTGACTGAAGGATTTCTTCCAGCATTGGTGAAGTAGTTGGAATTGAAGTTTGAGATGACATTATAGCCCAATTTAGTATCCCACTTTTTTTGGACATGATATCCCAATTCTGATTTAGAGCATGGAACGAATGGTCAACATCTCCAATTCTAACACAGAGAACGGAGGATGGATTTTGCTGACTTCTGAGGAAATAATGGGAAGATTGTTGTCCAGTTGGATATCCATATTTCAACGGATTCTGTGAGGAAGGCTGTTGTTCATCTCCATATCCATACTTAAATGGATTTCGCGTCTTGATTTGAAGCATTTGATTAATTTGTTTGAGTGTCTTGCTTAAAAATGAAATGGATGAAAAGGATTCCATAATGACCCTCTGAATTTTACCTGTTCTCACTGTGTTGGTCATTATTTGTATTGGCAGTGTAATTACGAGTCTCTCCATAACTATCATAACCCTCAGAAGCTTGTAGAACATATACTGTTAACAAGTCAAGATTTGATTTTTCATTTAGGTACGTGTCAGTTTTCAGATAAGAAAAGTTTGGCATCCAACGCTTAGCTTTTCTAGCACCAATAGTGAAGAAAACTCCCTCTTGTTGCTTAGAGCAGAAAGCAGGAATTTGCCACAATTTGTACTTTTTCATTTCTTCATTGTCAATATTAACGGATTTCAAAGCGTTTTTGACATGTTTTGACACTTGTTGATCAACAGGATTTCTCGATTCAGCCACCATCTTCAATGTCTGATAAGTACTCGCCTTTACACGTTTGTTTGGTTCCTGTCTCATTGAATAAACAATCTGGTCAATTACTGAAGGTTCTGGTTGTGTTCTCAATAGAGTAGTCAAGGCGCTAGAACGAACATAAGAATCCTCTTGATTATTCAAAAATATTGGGAGAAGAATTTGTTGGATAGTTCGAGGCTGTTTCGTGAAAAGACGGCGAAGAGCATCAATTGCTTTTACTCGAATTAGATAATCTTGAGATTTGTCGTTAATTATCTGGTCAATGTAAGGTGTTGTAGTATCAATTCCGGCATTTCCTAAAGCAGAAAGTGCAAGGAATTTATCGTAGAAAGTTGTGGCTTGGCTGTACTGCTCTAACAATGTCTGGAAATGAAAAATGAGTTAATGTCAAAATGAAATTTTTTGTGGATTAAACTGAAGTGAAAGTGAAGGAAACGAGTGCTTTCTGGATACTGTAGATTAGATCAAAAGGTGGCAAAATGGCACTTTTTTGGGGAGTGACGAAATGACATTTTTTACCCTACGGAATTTTCTAAGAAATTTACCCTTTTGTACTCTTCCTTCTTATCATCAGTACATTGCTCCTGAACGGATTTTGACACATCCTGAGATGATTCCATCGCTTTTCTGCCCTTATGTTGGCATAATTCATTGACCAACGCACCAAAGGTTAGCCAAGCTGCTTGTCTAACCGTAGGCTTGTTTTGTACATTCACATTTTGAGCAAGTTGTTTGACTTGTTTTAGAATGGAGTTGGAAGGAATCGGAAGGTTTTTCAACTGATTAATGGCAAATGCTGCTTTGTTTTCATCAATTTCCTAGAAAATCAAGGATTATTTTCCTTAAACATAGCCTAGTTTTCACCTCATTTTCAATAATTTCAGCCAAAAGCTTCACAGTATTTCTTGTTCCACTTGTAGCCAAGGAATCAACAAAGACATCCATTGCAACCTTTTGCTGTTTCTCTCCATCTTGACTTTTGGCATTTTGTTCAATTTGTTTTAGCTCCTCATAACTACACATTCTCATTTTATTAACTAATCTACTCAGATCAACGGTATGTTTAGTTTTGATGCCGTGATGGTGATCCATTGTGCTCTGTACGATAGATCGGAGTGCTTGAGTGGCTTCTTCAACTTTTGGCATTTTGTATGGCAAACTGTTGACATCTGGGAAGGCTTCGTCTCCGAACTATAAATGAGATAATAAACTGTTTTTCGCTTATAGAACCCATTTTTTACCATATAGAAACGTCGAAGATCCATTCCCCATTCATTCGAGTAGAGCAATGCTTCATCTGATTCTGCTGTAGCAGCGAGAGGGGCTGGTTTTTCTATATTTTGTACTGTTTCTAAAACAAGTTTTGCGCATGTCTTTGTCTTCAATGCAGAGCCATAAAGTCCTTCACTCTCAATTTTTGTATTTTTATAAATATAGTTTGACGTCATTTCTGAATTATCCAACTGGCAACAATTTGGGTAATTATTTTGTTTTTGTTCCGTTCCGCATTTTAGCACTGCGCGGATGACTGTTTGACGATCCAACTGTTTAAAAGCGAATTATTCTAATCGGAATTCAAGACATTTTAAAGTACTAAACTTAGATGCCCCCAAAATGGGTAAGCATTAATCATAGGCTTTTAAAATTTGATTAGCCACAGGGCGGGATTGACGTCTAAGCGATACTTCATATTTTAGAGCTATTCAGAGCCTACCCTAAGGAGTATCCTAAACTTTTTTCTCACTCACCATCTGCTCAGTCATCTCTCTAGGGTCGCAATCTGCGCATTGATTCTCTGCTGTTCCCTCATGCTCCTCATTTACTTTCACATCCTCATTCATAGGGCATTGACTGCATTTTAGTTGAGGTTGTTCTGTCTGGAATCCGTTTGTTGAATCAGCAATTTTTGAACATTTTTTGAAATTTATCGACTTTGTAACGTTGTAAGAGCAGGGTTGTTGACTCTCTTGACATTGCTTTGATCCTTTATTAATTGTATAGATAGTTTGGCATTCCCCTTCAACGGTTGTTTCAGGAACTGTAAAGCTCTGAGCTAATCTATCCACATTTTTATTTTCTCCAATTGCATTTTGGGCCTCTTCATTATGGCGTAAATTCATTTGGAGCATGTTAAGCACTCCTCTTTTAATGTTTTTAGACCAAGAGACGTCTTGTTTCTCGAACTGGATTCGAGTGACCATTCCGTCGACGTAGTCGAATTGGCAGCAAAGTTCGAGTTTCTGACGAGTCTCTTGGGGAATTTGCAACTGGAAATTGTAAAAAAATTTATTCGAATTTTTCAATTCCTAAACTAACAGGTTCAAACATTCCCATTGGGTCATAACATTGTTTTTCCTTCATTTGCCTCATATCGTTAAATTGGCCAAACTTTAATTGAGTCATACAAAGCTGTCCACGCCTTTCGCTTGAAAAATACATTCGAATTTGTGCTTGGATTCGAGTAATTGCTTGTTGCTGACTCTCCTCTTTTGTTCCGGATGAATCGACTGAACTCAACATTCCATTCTCTACTTGAGCATTGTAGCTATAAACATATTCGCTGTTTTCCTGGAAGTTTGGCGTTTTGATTTGTTCAGCCGCTGTATTATACTCTCGATAGAAGAAGTTTTTAAACGGTGCACTTTTGGTCATCGAGTAGTATTCATTGGAGGATCGGTCGGCGAGTGGTATTGAAGAAGTGCCAGAAAGGCTTAAAAGAAGTAATATGAAGACGATTGCCTTCATGATTTTTTGCGTCTTTGTTTTAGTCTGGGGTTTTAAAGCCTTTGAAGCTTTTATAATGAAGAAAGGAGGATTAGAAAATTAAAAAGAAGTGAGGAAATGGAAGAAAGTAATGCCTTTTATAGTTGCTGGGACAAGTAAACTTTTCTCTCCCCATAATTTTGTAAAAAAATTTTTTTTCGAACTTTGCCCCATTTTTCTTGAATAAAATTTCTTGATAATGTCAATCTCCTTCCTAGTAAATTTAATAATGGCGCCAACCATATTTTTAAGGCAAAGAATTTTTTTTTATAAATTTATAATAAATTTTATTTTCTCTCTGATAAGCTTAAAAATAATTGACAGCTGTTTCCTTTCAAAATTAAAAATATTATTTTCGTTATCATTTATTGTAAATGACATTTTTGATATATTTTTGAAGAAAAAAAACTTTAAAATGTTGGGTGATCAAAATTTATTTTTGCTAGTTATTTTTCTATTTTTTTATCACATAACTATCAGGCATTTGACTTTTTACATTTAACCCTGCATTTGTGGCATTCTTGTCGAGTAGCCTCAAATGATGGAGATTTTATAACTATAATAGTTAAAAAGATAAAAAGGAAGAAAACTGGAAAAAACAAATCACTATATGCGTTATATGTATTTTATGTCTCCATTAATATAATTGAGAAATTTTTTATTAGAACTAATGATCATATTATAAAAATGCCAACAATTAACTGAAAAATGAATGACTTTTTCCAATGACTTTTGACTATTTTTATTTTTTGCTTTCTGATGAAAATTTCAAGCATTTTGGGCGGCCCATAGTTTGTTTCTCTCGTTTATGCCGGACCCGCCGGATTTTTCTGGATTAATTCGGTTGGGAAAAAATTCGAAGACCTAACCGTGAAATACTAAAAACTACTTGAAAATATAAAGAATCCTCATAATCTTCAAAAAACTACAAAAATCCACAAATCAGCATTTTTAAAAATTATCCTCATTAACCTATCAGAAAACCACAAAATGAGGAAAACCCCTGAATAGAGCATTTTAAAAATATTTTAAAAAATTTCCCATATCAATTTATTCTCCCAAATTTAACAATTTAAATAATAAAGAAAAATCGAAAAAATTTTTTCCAAATAAATTTCCATGATTTAAAGAAGAAAATCCCAATTTTGTTTTGTTTTTAAAGAAAAGTTGAAGATATTTAACCAAAATTCCAAATCCCCATATTCTGCCAAATTTTTTATTTTTTGCTTAAAATTATAGATAATTTTTAGGGAATAATTAGATGGTTTGTTGGGTATACTTCAATTTCATTTAGTTAAATTCTATGTACTAACAAAAGATTCCGTAAGAGTGTAAGAGGTCGCTGCCTAGAGAAACTTGACCTCTGTTACAAGGGTGTGCCGAAACGGATTTTAAAAAGTGAAATGCGAAAAGCGACCCTGGCACACCCCTGCTCTGTTAGTACCTAGAATAAAAAAATTGACGTTGAAGTATAACAGACCTGGAAAGACAAGGAATAGACTTAGACTAACAACAATGTAACCTCAAAATTTTTCTGTAAAGCAAAGGATCTCCGACAAATAATGCACTTTTTAAAATAACTGAATATATCGAAGTTTCCGACTTTTTTTTTTGGTTGAGAATTCCCTATTGCCGAAACAAAAAACTATTTTTTATATCGACAAGATTCACTGTATATTCATATTAAGTTAATAAAAAATTAAATTCAATTACAATTTCCACTGATTTAACGATTTCCAACTCCAGGTGAATGTCCTGGATTGGTTGCTCGTTTGTCAGCCATTATATAATAATTCATAAAATTAATTATTAAAATAATTAAGAAAATAATGGAATTAATTTTAGTCATTTTTTGTAAATTTATTTATTTAAAGAATTATTTTTATTGACAATTAATTTATTTTATTGGTAAATTTTGCCTGTATTTATTTGGCCAAATTTTATTAATAAAAAATTGCGAAATTACCCAAAAAATTCATTTAATATTTTTAATTGTTTATTCAGCCTTTAAAAAAATTAGCTTTTTATTTTAAAGCTTGGATTATTTTATAAAGTAAACGGGACAATTCACTATATAGACACTTTGCAGAAATGCCTCCAACACCTTAATTCGCCTGAGAATAATAGAGATATCGGGCGGAACAGCCAAACGATAAGAATGGAGCATCCTAGCATTAATCAGCCAGAGGATAATTTGTTGGATTATCAGGAACCTCTTAGTTGCTTAAAGGTCCATCCATTCCTTAAATTATTTTTAATATTGAGTTCTTATTAGATAGTTTTTGCAATATTTTTAGTGAAAATTTTACAAATTAATGGTTCCTTTTATGTTGCTATTTTGATTTTACTATATTGGGATTTGCTGAAGAGCTCATTAAGGCTTAGGTAGCCCGATCACATACCCAATTCATTATACCTCTATATTCTATGAAAGTCACAATATTAGACGGAGAACATAAACAAATTTAATATTTTTTGCATGTTAGGAGAATTTTTTAGGAAATTTTGCCCATTTTTAAGGGAATTTTTGTCTATTTGTAGCTATATTTTGTTTAAAATATGAGAAAAATGGATGGGAATGTGGCTATGTCCAATCAACTTTTACACGTTCAATGATTAGATTAGACAGAATAGTTACCCGAATTTGTACGTACGTCGCCATAGATCACAAACATAAAAGCTTAAATTTTCACTGAATGCAAAACGGTTGTTGGGACGACTAAAGGTGAGATTGAACGCGTAATCTGGACACTAGCTGGGAATTTTATAAGTAAAAAATTTTTATTTAATTATTATTCTGTCAGTAAATTATCTTTCTGTGAAATTTTATTTTTCTTTATATTTGCTAAATTTATTCTTACTTTATTCTAAATTTGGTTTAACCCCTCGAATACTATAAAAAAATTTAAAAATTGCAAATAAAAAATTCTAAATAATTTAATTTTGTATTTATCAATAAATTAAATAAAACTGCAAAATTTCACGTGAATTACCAAAAAATTGTTTTTTTCTGGAAAAGATTAAAGGTTAAATTCTTATTCGTGTTTTGATCAAAAATACTTGAGACTAAATATACTTTTTAAAATAGCTAAACCTTTTTGCTATGTTTTAGTCATTTTTATTTTTTTAAAGTCAAAATCCTTTCAGTTTTATCAAGAGCTGTAGAGCTTTATCATTTTCAGTTTTAACAAGAGTCGACTTACGGTGTTTCCGATACTAACAGAAGAGACTTGACTAACAAACAAGGTTTTATCACAAAGCAAAAATACAATAGAATAAGCGAGACTATGCGTTGGCTGCGACTAGAATAACACTAACCCTAGACTACCAATAGACCAGTGGAATTCCGATTTTCGACGTTTTTTTCCTTCAGATTTCAAAAATTTTGGTAAAATTTCCGATTTCCGAGAATCTTTAAACCATATTTCCGACTAGAGATTTTTCCAAATTTTTAAAAATTTTTGCCTGCGGCGCAAAAATAGAAGAAAGCTAACTCAATAACTCCAAATTCAATTCAATTCAATTCAATTTATACGCATAAAACGTGACATTCAGATAAAATAAAGTAAAGTAAACGTGACAATAATTTAAATTTAAATCACTAAAGGTCTGGAGACATTTGAATGGAATGTGGCTTTGATAAAATATTGTTTAGGTTAATATTGTTTAGGAGCTTTGGAAACAATTCGATTGACGATTTTTGTAATTCTGTTGGGAGTTTTCTGTAAATGTTTGGGATGTCTATAAAGAATGAGTTTTTCCGAATGGTGCTTGAACAAAAGGGTATAAATAAATTATGCGGATTTCCTCTAGTAGTGGTAGGGAGAATGCTAAATGAATTATCATGTTTTAATTTAATTTTACCTAAAATAATATTATGGAAAAGGATAAGGTTTGATTTTAGACGTCTATGCGATAGAGATTCAAGTTTGAATAGGTCGAGAAGTTCTTTATAATCAGGTAATGTTGGACTGTTATTTTGTTTCCTAGAGCGTAAGTATATTATTTTTAAGAATTTATGTTGAACATTTTCTAGAGCGTTTATGTCTTTATTTAGATAAGGGTTAATTATAGGGGATCCAAATTCGAGGATAGGTAAGACATATATTTTGAATAGAGTAATTAGGAATTGGGTGTTATTAGTTTTAAGAGATCTTATAAGAGTATAATAAATTCTGGTTGCTTTATTTGTTGCAATTTTAATGTGAGAATCCCATTTTAGGTTGGATGTAAAATAAATGCCAAGATCACGGATATGTTCATTGGGTGGAATGATTGGTATATTTGTGTTTTGTAGAGAATATTGGTGGAAGGGATTTTTAGTTCCTATGTGGAATGAACTACATTTGCTGATCGCGATTTTAAGGCCGTTTATTTCGCAGTATTTTGAGAATGTTTGGATAAATGTTTGGAGTGGAGAATAGTGGTTTTTATTTGAAAAATCAAAGCAGGTATAGGCCTTTAAATCGTCAGCAAATAATTTGGGTGTAACATTATCTGTTTTACAGAAATCTATTAGATCAAATATATATGAGATGAATAAAATTGGGCCAAGGATGGATCCTTGAGGAACTCCACTTGTTATGGGATATTCATTAGAGTTATTAGATTCGACAAGAACAGTAAAAGTTCGATTTAACAGATAATCCTCAATCCAATTTAGTAAAGTGCTAGTGATACCTAGATGATGAAGTTTTTTCAGAAGGCGATCGTGGGGAACAGTATCAAAAGCTTTTGCCAGGTCAAAGAATATAACGTCAACACATTTCTTATTTTCTATAGCTAATGTGTAGTCGTTATAGGTTTCTAAGAGTTGAGTTATAACTGAGTGGTTTTTACGGAAACCATGTTGGCAGGTGGGAAGGTAATTGTTAGTTTCAAGAAATGAAGTTAATTTATTAGAGATAATCCGTTCTAAAATTTTAGAGGTTGGGCATAGGAGAGAGATAGGTCGGAAATCCTTGGGTTCATTTGGGTTATTATTTTTGGGAATTGGTCGGATTATTGACTTTTTCCAAATAGTTGGAATTTTACTTGTCATGATTGACATAT